TGTGTGTGTTGTGCGTGTGTGTGTGTGTGTGTGTGTGTGTGTTTGTTGTGTGTGTGTGTGCGTGTGTGTGTGTGTGTGTGCGTGCGGCGCGAGTGTGCGTATGTGTCTGCATGCCCGCGTGTGTTTGTACATCGTGTGTATGTATGCACGCACGGAGTGTGTAAGTGCATATGTCAAATTCATTCCTCCATTTCATCATTTTCCTCAATTCCCTCACTTTTAGCTAAGGCACATTTCCTCCATTTCCTGCGTCCCAGAAATATCTTGACAATGTGTTTTACTTTCCCGCTTCAGCATCTTGAAGAAAATGTCGCAGATGCCATCAATTAGCTCGCTGAAAGAATGGGAAATTTGAGAGACTTTCCGCTCTTCTAACTCCTCGTTCTCTTCGGCTTCTCCTTTCCCCCATTCTTCTTTTTGTTTCCCTCTTCCCCTCTTTTTGGTATCTGTCTATCTCTCTGTCTATATAAATATCTATCTGTAGTATTCCCCTTTCTACCAAGCTATCTACCTACATCTCTCTCTCTCTATCTATCTATCTATCTCTCGCTCACTCTCTCTCTCTCTCACTTCCTCTCTCTTCCTCTCTTACTCCCTCCCTTTCTCCCCCCTTCGCTCACTTCCACCCTGCCGTCTCTCTCTCTCTCTCTCTCACTCCCTTTCCCCCCCCCCCCCACCTCTCTGCCTCCTCGACTTCCCGTCTTCATCGCAAAATTAAAAGCTTTTGACACTAATGCAATCTGTTTCCTCATCGTCCAAACTCAAAGCAAGAGATTAGTGCCTGTTGAAGCAAATTTCCTCGCTCGCCTTGCCTCTAACTTTCTCTGTCCCCGTTTACCGCTGATTAAACATTATGCATTCAGACATATTAATTCTTATTAAGTTTGTTCTCTCTCCCTTTACCTCTCCTTTTAACTTTTTTATTTTTATCTGTCTCTTCTCTTACTTCAGTTTATTGGTGGTGATTTTACTGTTTTTTTTTATCTTCTCTCTCTTTTTTTTAGGGGGGGGGGGGCTTTTCTCTTTTTTTATATATCTCTTTCCTAAATCTGCGTCTTGTTTATTATCTTAATTCTTTCCTTTTTTACATTCCTTTATGTCCATCTACATTCTCGACCTGTTGCTCCTATTCTTGTCCCAATTCCTGTTTCTATTCCTTTTCCAAATCCTGCCCTAATTCCTGTTCCTATTCCTATTCCAAATTCTGCCCCAATTCCTGTTTCTATTCCTGTCCCTATTCCTACTCCTGCTCCTATTCCTGTCCCTTTTTCTTTTCCAAAGTCAGCCCTGTCTTTATTCCTGTTCCTATTCCTACAACCCTCCCAATAAATCACCACAAATTATCCTAACGACCAACTAACTCGTCAACAACAGGACTAAATATACTTCCCATTCCCAATTATCTCCTTTAAATATCATTAATGGCACTTCTCTTGTTTTCCTTATTACCTCGTCAACCCACTAAATGACAGCATGTGACTGAGCAAAACAACTATTTTCGTGTGTGATTTGATCTCATTAAATCACTCACGACTGACTAGCAGCTTGGGTCGTAGTTCTCGCTCATTCGTTAATGGGTCAAGTTTTAAAGTCTATTTCTCTTAACATTCAGGACGGAATAAAGTTTAGATGGAATTAATTAACTTCTTGAGAAGATTTATTACGGCCATTCACTGCCTAATTTCTTGACATTATTGTTAGAGTGTGTCCCGCTTGTAATTAAAGGCGAAAAAATGGCTTGGCAACATTGCACAACATTTATGTACAAGGGGAAACAATTTGCACCGAGTGTGTTGCCTTAACTCTTAAGGAATTAATGCTTAAATGTATTTTTTTCTTTATCTCTCTTTCGTTCTGGAGTTCTCTTTCTCTTTGGCTTTCTCATTCTCGATTTCTTTCTTTCTCCCTCGCTATCTCTCTCTCGTTCTCGCTTTCTCTCTTTCTCTTTCGTACTATCTATCTATCTATCTATACATATATATGCCTGTCTACCCATCTTTCAATCTATATCGATCTATCTTTCCTGCATCCTCTCTCTCTCTCTCTATATATATATATATATATATATATATATATATATATATATATATATATATATATATATATATATATATATGTATATATATATATATATATATATATATATATGTATATATATAATATATATATATATATATATATATATATATGTGTGTGTGTGTGTGTGTGTGTGTGTGTTGTGTGTGTGTGTGTGTGTGTGTATGTATGTGTGTGTGTGTGTTTGTAATATATCTATATATCTATATCGTTCTCGTTCTCTGTATATATATATATATATATATATATATATATATATATATATATATATATTATATATAATATCTGTCATTCTATATCGTTCTCGCCTTCTCTCTCTTTCTCTCTTCTCTTCATATCTCTCTCACTTTGATTCTCCAAGGAAACGCCCTGCGGAAGACCCACCTAGGAAGCGCTTGTTGAGGGTCCTCGGCGCCGCTTCCTCCGTCGCCAGGTAGTAGACGTCGGCGGGGTAGTAGGCGTTCCTGGCCATCTCGTCGTCTTCGCCGAGTCGCTTCCCGGCCCAGTTGGCGTACGAGGCCCCGTTTCTCGCCAGGGCCTGGATGTTCCTCTTGTCACCCTGCCCGCGGTCGTCCTCGAGGGTCAGGCCGTTGCCGATGTCGTCGAGGATGACGTACATCTTGGCGTTGGCTCCGAGGAGGTTCTGGCGCTGCTTCTCGCGCATGAGTCCGTTCTGGATCTTGAGGCGGATGAGGCGTTCCAGGTAGGCCACGTTGTCCTCGCGGGTGTTGGGTGCCTCGCGGCGGTTCTGGCGGGACCGCGAGTACAGGAAGGCCAGGTCGTTGTTCTTGGCGAGGGAACCGACGTACCGCTTGCGCCTCGGGTGGTTCTTGGCGTCGTCGGACACCGGACCGCCGCTGAAACTCGACTGCCTGTTCCGCATGAAGGAGGAGATGTGGCGCTTGCCCGTGCTGGGTCCGAAGGCAGACTGGCGGTTCTGCATGAGGGACGCGATGTGTCTCTTGTCATCGAACGATTTCAGGGAAGACTTGCTCTGCAGGAGAGACGCAATGTGCCTCTTCTCCTGGTCCTGAGCGTCGACCAGGTTATCCACGTCATTGAACTGGTCATCGTAGCCCATGTCGCTGGTCTCCTCTTGCGAGGCTTCATCCGCGTCCGCGGAATCGGACCTCTTCAAGATGGACGCGTAGTAGCGCTTAATTACCTCGAGGTCGTCTTCGTCGGCGTCCTTGTGCTTCAGAAGGGAGGCGAAGTACCGTTTCCCGGCGGTGGGGTCGCCGTAGGCTCTCAGGGCCGACGCCAGGTGACGCTTCTGCAGGTCGTTCTCCCGGTCCTTCAGAAGGGAGGCGAAGTAACGCTTCTCGGCGCCGTCGGTGAAGTCGTCCGAGTTCTTGTGCTTGAGGAGCGAGGCCAGGTACCTCTTCTCGTAAGGCGAGTCCTCCTGGTCCTCCTCGGAGTCGGATCTCTTGTTAAGCAGAGAGGCGTAGTACCTCTTTTCTGTATTCATCTGATCCCCAGTGTCCTTGAGCTTCTGCAGGACGTCGTCGAGGGCATTCTCGTAGGCGATGTGCTTCAGGAGGGACGAGTAATGTCGCTTTTCCTCGCTCGTCTCGTCAAAAGAGTCTTCCGATTTCTTATGAAGGATCGAGGCATAGTAGCGCTTGTCGTCGTTGTTGTCCTCAAATGAATCCTCGTCTCTTTTGTCCAGGAGTGAAGCAAAATATCGCTTGTCCTCATTGATCTCGTCCGTAAAGTCAGATTTCTTGCTCAGAAGGGAAGCAATGTGTCTTTTGTCCTCACTGGTCTCTTCCACGGCATCGTCCGACTTCTTGCTGAGAAGAGAAGCGTAATGCCGTTTATCTTCGTTGTATTCGTCGTCATCAGATTTTTTGGTGTAAAGTGAGGCAAGATAGCGCTTCTCCGTCTCGAGGTCGTCGGAATCATCAAACTTCTTATCTTTCAGCAGAGATGCATAATACCTCTTATCTTCATCGATCTCATCGAGGGAATCGTCCGACTTCTTGCCTTTCAAAAGAGAGGAAATATGTCGCTTGTTCTGGGTGAACAGGCCGCTGTCTCTGCTCTTCAGTAGCGACGCCAAGTACCTCTTATTCGCAATCAAGCCATTGGACGACTTTTCCTCCACGTTCTTGGACAGGTCGGCTGGGGGAAGGTTCTTCAGGAGAGAGGAGTAGTAGCGCTTGTCTATGTAGTCCTCGTCTCCCAAGGGCCCGGGGAGGTTCTTGAGGATGGAGCCATAGTAACGCTTGTCTTGGTCGTGGTCTTCGCCTTGCGAGGGCAGGAAATAGTCCCTGTTCTTCAGGAGTGAGGCATAGTAGCGCTTGTCTGGGTAGAAGGGCAGTGACTGGCTCTTGATCAGTGAGGCTATGTGTCGCTTGTCCTGTTCGGCTTTCATGTCTGAAGGCAGGAAGGGAGTCTCGGCCTTCAGGAGCGAACCATAAAACCGCTTGTCATAGTCGTTTCTACTGCGGTAGGCGGCGAAGGGGGCGGCGAAATAGCGTTTCCCTTGGCCGATGAACGAGGGCGGGTGGCTCTTCATGAGGGCCCCGAGGTAGCGCTTCTCTTGACTCTTGATCATGGGGAGGTCGTTGGCCCGCGCGAGGCTCGAGAGGTGGCGCTTCTCGGCCTCCAGCGAGTCGTTCGAGGTCAGATTGTCGCTGGTGATCTTGGCGAAGTGAGCCACGTTCCTCTTGTCTTCGGTGGGCGAGTCCTCCATGGTCTTGCTGTTGGTCCTGGCCAAGTAGGCGACGTTGCGCTTCTCGTCCTGGGCGTCGAGGTCGCTGCTGTTCCTCCTGGCGACGTAGGCGTCGTTTCTCTTGTTGTCGGGAGGGCCGCCGTTCAGGCTGTTGGTGCGAGCGAGGTAGGCAACGTTCTTCTTCTCGTCTGGGGCTTCCAAGGCTTTGCTGTTCATTCTTGCAATGTAAGCAACATTCCTCTTCTCATCCGGTTCATTTGCACTCAAGCTGTTGGTTCTGGCGATGTAGGCCACGTTCCTTTTCTCGCTCGGATCTTCCATGTTTTCACTGTTGGTTCTGGCGATGTAAGCAATGTCGTCGGCATTATCATGTTAGTTCTGGCGATGTAAGCAATGTTCCTTTTCTCGTCGGCATTATCATGATTCATACTATTAGTTCTGGCGATGTAAGCAACGTTCTTCTTTTCGGCAGCATTGCCTAGATTCATGCTGTTAGTTCTAGCGATGTAAGCCACGTTCCTCTTCTCAGCGACGTCGTCCATCGCGTTGCTCTTGGTTTTGGCGATGTAGGCGACGTTCCTCTTCTCGTCGAGCGGGAACGGGAAGTTGCCGGAGCGCGCCAGCGAGGACAGCGAGCGCTTCTCGTCCTCGGCGGAGGCAGCGTCCTGAACACTGCGCTTCATGTCGACGTTGGAGGGGAACTTGCCGTCGCGGGCGATGCTGGCGATGCTGCGCTTGTCGTGGTTCTTGAGGCGGTCGTCGGGGGCGAACGCCGTCAGGGAGCTCTTCAGCGATCGTGGCATGTTGTTCGCCGCCGCCAGGGACGACATGCTCTTCTTCTCGACGCTCCGTAGGGCTGCGTTCTTGCGGTATTTGCTCCGAAGGTTGGCTCTCTGCAGGAGCTTGCTCATGTAGTTAGAGTCGAGCGGGAGCGTGCCCACGGAGAAGCCCCAGGTGCGCGGGCCGGCGTTGTCGACGAACCAGCTCCGTCTCGCCTGCGGCCCGAGAAACCGCCGCTCGCGGGGCCCGCTCACGTAAGCCGTCGCGTCATCGCCTGCGTCGGAGCCAGCGGCGTCACCGGTTAGTCTCTCGTCTGTCGTCGAAGTCGTCTGAATTTCAGCTCCCTGAAAAGAAAGAAAAGTCGAGCGTGAATGGGGTGCCTTTTTATTCGTTTTGTATCGTATTAGTTTCATATTTGTAGAGATGAGAGAGAGAGAGAGAGAGAGACGGGATGTATCCATGTATACATAGATAGACACGTATATAGATAGACAGATATAGACACATGTATACATACATAGATATAGATGTAGACGTAGTAAGTGCGCGTGTGTCAGTGTCAAATGCTCATTTCACAAACAATTTAAAAAATATATTTTTCAACTGTTTGCAACCTTTCTTTTCCTAAGCTTTGATTAAAGAGAGAGATAGAGGGAGATAAAGGGGGGGGGGATGAGAAAGACAGTGAAAGAAATCAGCAGAGAAAAAGTAGGAAAAAAAAGATAAGAGAGAGAAGAGACAGACAGACAGAGAGAGAGAGAGAGAGAGAGAGAGAGAGAGAGAGAGAGAGAGAGAGAGAGAGAGAGAGAGAGAGAGAGAGAGAGAGAGAGAGAGAGAGAGAGAGAGAGAGACGCAGCACAGAAAGCGAGGGACGTTGCATCACCTACTAAATATCAAGGTCTGGGACTGAGATAAAGAACAGAAAGGCAAAGAGGAGACAGATGAGCTTGAGGAACAAAGTAACTCTCCCTCCTTCTATTTTTCTCTGTCTGCTCCCCTTTCCCTCTTTCCTTCTCTCTCTCTCCTCTTCTCTCTTGCTTCTCTCCCTCCTCTTCTCCTTATCCTTCTCTCTCTCCTTCTTCCCCCTCCGCCCTTCCTCCTTATCCTTCTCTCTCCTCTTCTTCCCCCTCCGTTCTTCCTTTTTTCCTTTTCTCTCTCCTTCTTCCCCCTCCGCCCTTCCTCTTTCTCCCTCATCACTCTTCATTTCGTGGTTGTCTCCTTTGTCTTCTATAGCCAATCACTGGTATTTATAACGTTCATTTCTCCTCTCTCTTACTCTCGCTTACTCTTTTTCTCCCTCTCTCTACGTCACTTCCTCTTTTTCCTCTCTCTTACTTTCATTATCGTCTTCTCTCGCTCTTCTCTCTTCCCCCCCTCTCCCTCCTTCTTCTCCTCTCTCTTCTTTTCTTCCTATCCAACCACTTTAAAAGGAAGGAGGATCCGTTAATCCCCCCCCTCTCTCTCTCTCTCTGTGTGTGTGTGTGTGTGCGTGTGTGTGAGTGTATCCCCTCCCCTCTTTTTCTCTCCTTCCCTCCTTCTCCCTTCTTCTTCCCTCCCTCTCTCCCACTGTTTCCTATTCTTCCTCCCTCTTCCTTTCCTTTTCTTCCCTCCTCCCCTCCTCTATTCCTTCCCACTCACTTTCCTTCCCACCATGCATTCCCCATCCTTTTCCACAAAAGAAAAAATGGAAAAGGAGGATTAAAAAGGAGCAGGGGAAGGAGGGGGAGGAGAAGAAGGAGAAAGAGGAGAAGGAAGAGTAAAGGAGAAGGAGGGGAGGAGGAGAAGGACAAGAAGAAGGAGGAAGAGGAGAAAGGAGGAAGAAGAAAGGAGGAAGAAGAAGAAGGGGAGGAGGAGGAGAAGGAGAAGGAAGAGTAGGAGAAGGAGTCCGTAGCCAAAAGAGGAAAGCAGAAAAATACGCAACAGGGTTTATATGGGATGTGTCGAGCGCGGACTTAACCTCAAGGCTT